CGGCGGCGATGCTCCAAATCCGCCCAAAATTACACCCTTGAATCCTCTCCCTCTCCTCTTTCCAACCCCCAAAACCATCTCCTTCAATTCCTAGCCAATCTTCTCAAATATTAGATCTAAAATCCGGCCCAAAACCCAACTCTCTCCAAACCAGTCCAAACTCACACCATATATCCTCCTCATCTCCTTCTTCATAAATTCATAGCCTATAACCCTCAAACATCACCCCATCTTCTCAAATTTTGGATCGAAGTCCGGCCAAGAACCCTAACTCTTCAAAGTCGGAATTTCTTTGATTTGGCACTACAACTGCCTTTAATCGTGTGTTTTCTCATTGAAAATACATGATTAAAGACGGTTTTGGTCCAAATAATTCCAAGAAAACCTGCCAGGTTCGAGTCTGAGTCAAATTTGCGAGGTATTTTTCATTCCGTTTTCTTCTCGATTCATGACTTTTGTTCCTGTTCCTCTGTTTCGTTTCCTTTATCATTTTTAGTCTTTATTTTTCGTGCCTAACTTAGGGTTCTGATTACCATAGTGTAGTTTAAATTTTTGTTCTTATTTTATTTGACTTCGATTGTATGATTCATGATTGTTGCTGTTATATGACGTTAATTTGACTTTAGTTTCAATTTTATTTGTTTGCTATTTAGTTTACTGTTAGCCTTAGGACATAGTATTAATTAGAGTTAAATTCCAGTTTTGATTGATTAGATTGACTAGTTCAATTTTTAGGACTCGTTTGGATATAGTTGAATACTCCAACATTGGTTTGTTTAACCATGGTCAATTTTTGACCAAGTCTAAGGGGGCTGGGGTTGGTTCGACATAGTTAGTAATTTAAATTAAAGTTCAAGGGTAGTATAGGCTTTTGGATAGGAAGAATCTTGGTAGCAATTAGTAGAAATCTCTGGAACATTCTAGATAGGGTTCAAAACAGAATTTTAGAAAGTTTAGTAGCTATAACTTGAGAAAGAAGTCAGGAAATAAGGGACTTTTAAGCAAAAATAAAAATTAGGAAAGGATAGAAAATGCAAAACTGAAAATCTGAGGGCTGACCTTATCCTTGTCTATAAAAGGCATGTCCAATGCCTTAATTAAAAAAAAGAATCTGAAAAATCCCCAAAGGTTTTAGAAGTTTTAGAGATTCTGAAAAATTCCCAAAAAAAAAAAATATTCCAGCTTTTAATTTTCCCCCAAAATCCCATTCTAAAGTTCTGAAGTTCAAATTTGAATTTCAAAACCTAAGGAAGCCAAAATCTGCATTCATATAGTTCAAATTTTCTTCTAGATCTGAATTTCTGCCCAAAAATCCAAAAAAAAAAAAACAGAAAACTTTCAAAAATCAAAAAAAATATTATTCCATTGAATTTTCCCTGTTATTTCTGAATTTTAAGCAGTAATTCTCATTCTTAGGCTTCGCATTTAAGTGCTGAAGTTGCAGAAGTGTCCCGGTTCAAATTTGAGGTGTTTTTGGGAGTATTTGAGTTGTTTTGATCATTTCAAGTTGAAATTGGTTGGTTCAGCCAGCTTTGAGTCTATTTGCTGGTGAATTTCATTTCTGGTTTCACTGGATTTTAAGCTGAAACCACCGTTGCTGTCCCTAGCTGTGTGAAACTGTGCTGATCTCCTTTTCCTTGTTGTATTTTAACTTCCAGGTACATATCCTCGAATTCACCTTAATGTAGCTTCAATTGGAGTTGAAAGAAGAAATGCTCATTGGATCTATGCTCATTGGATGTTTGATGTTGTGGATAGTTAATTAGGTGTTAGTTAATGTTAATCATTTGGTTGGATTATCTGAACCCTAGGCTTTATATCCTGACTGTATTAATTAGGACTGTTTGGATTTGTTTTGTAATTAAACTATAAAGTCTTTGGACTGTTGATTATAGGACTGTATTAATTAGGACTGTTTGGATTTGTTTTGTAAAGGACTGTTGAACTAATTTGATCTCATTCATGAATCACCTGGGTTTTGTGTCTAGTAATGTTAGGTTCGCCCCCAGGTGTTCCCAGCAGGAGCAGCTCCTAACATCTTCACTGCTCCACCATGCCCTGCTACAACACAACCTTCACTGCCAAGGCCTACCTTTGATCCCTCAGCTTTCACCTTCCAAAACCCTGTCTTTCCGGTGGATCCTCTTCAATATCCCACATATAATTACTCTCAGCCACCACCATACGAGCTTACACCAGGGCAGGACAAAACCCTCAAGGCCCCAGAGCAGGATGAGATGGCAAAGAGAATGAGAAGCCTCGAGCAGAGCTTGAAAAATATGCAAGGCTTGAGCGGACAAAAGAGTGTCTCCTATACAGACCTATGTATGTTCCCACATGTACATCTGCCACCAGGTTTCAAAACACCAAAATTTGAGAAGTATGACGGGCACGGTGACCCCATTGCTCACCTGAAGAAGTATTGCAATCAGTTACGA